GAAGGGGTTAACTGGGGGGGGTAATCAAGGGGTTAAACAGGATTACTGGTGTACTAGCGGGCAAACTGGCGCTATCTGGGAGGGGCGCTAACACTATTGGAAGTCGCCAGCGACACTGATACAGTGATCAGTAAAAATCTGTTCACTGATCAATTGGTCAGTGAAGGGGTTTATCAGGGGGTTAAATGTGACCTAGGTGTGTTCTAACTGTCTGTGTAGTGCTTTTGTACTCACAGTTTTTCTGTCTTCTTCTCTCTCTGGGACGAATGTGCCCAGGCAGAGAAGAATGACATCATATCCTGTCCTGTGTAAATGTCAACACAGGACAGGGACCGGATTTAGGACAGGGAAACCGATCATCAAATCGTGACACCCGCGGGTCAGCGGGAGCGCGTGCGCGCCCCCTGCCCGCAATAAACCTCGGGAGCACGTTTTAAAACGCGCTTTTGCGCAGCCGTGCCGCCTTGCCACCGTTTTAATGCAGTGGCTCGACGCCAAGAGGTTAATTACTTTAACCTTGAGTGCAGCAGGCTTCCAGGGTAGGGGAATTTGGGGCAGTGCAGGAGTGCTATTAAATAAGAGCAATACTATTAAGAACTTAATTGTTTATGATCCTTGACTTTGCCGAACTTTAAAAGCCTATGCTACTTTTAATCTATAAGGTAAACATTGCAATTATAAGCCAAAATATGTACTTACTAAAAATACCATTTATATTCCCAATAATGATCACTTGTATTTAGGGTACATCTGTTATTGCCCTATGGGGTGTAAATTGGCATAAGGAATTCTGTTCTGGCAATTATACCTACACCAAATGGTGCCCCCCGAGTACGTTTGTATGTGAATTTTTATATTTTTGCAAATGTGTGTTTTCATATTTTCACTATTTTATTATATTTAAAGCTTTGTAAATTAGCCATGAGAGGGATCAGTACTCAGTTCACAATCATCCAGCTTCCTTGTTGCCAATAAGATATCTACCATGCAGGGAGAAATTACTTGTTTTGTAAAGTGGAGAGTCTCTACTACTTAATTTAGTAATTTGACCCTGTAGAATTGTATAGATAAGCATTAAATCACTACCACTTGTGTATATGACATGGTAAAAGCCTGTATATGCAATTAGCAAATATGGATGCCACAATGCAAACAAGGTGATTAAAATGTTAACATACATTATTTGCATCTAGCTGATCTCTTTCACATGAATATCTTTAATAAAACAAAAAAGCTTTCCATTCCTTTTAGCTAGGATTTTTTCAACTGGCTGCAGGGGGCTGGTGCTAACCACAGAAGCAGCAGGTCTTTAAATCATTAAAATGGAGATTTAAACATGTCATGTATGTATTTCTATGCATAGTGAGTTATTACAGATGAGTGTTTCTGAACAAAGAAAATCTGTTATACTGGATGGAAATTATTGTGAGTCTAGATAAGATGCAGAAACCCATATGACAAAAAAATCTTGTCAGGAGAAATACACCATTATATTTATCTGTAATCATCTAAACAATGGTGAGATTATCACATTTCATTTTAGTATAAAATTGATTACCCTACCATCTGAATGCTACAGCAACCAGTCTGTCCATTCTTCTCTGACCTCTGACATTAACAAGGCATTTTCATCCACACAACTAGATATTTTCTCATTTTCAGACCATTCTCTGGAAACCCTAGAGATGGTTGTGCGTGAAAATCCCAGTAGATCAGCAGTTTTTAAAATATTCAGACCAGCCTGTCTGGCACCATCAACCATGCCACATTCAAAATCGCTTAAATCCCCTTCCTTCTCCATTCTTATGCTCAGTTTGAACTTCAGCAAGTCATCTTCAGCACGTCTAGATGCCTAAATACATTGACTTGTGCCATGTGATTGGCTTCAATTTGTGTTACCAAGCAACGTCTTCAGCACGTCTAGATGCCTGAATGCATTGACTTGCTGCCATGTGATTGGCTGATTAGCAATTTGTGTTACCAAGCAACGTCTTCAGCACGTCTAGATGCCTGAATGCATTGACTTGCTGCCATGTGATTGGCTGATTAGCAATTTGTGTTACCAAGCAATGTCTTCAGCACGTCTAGATGCCTAAATGCATTGACTTGCTGCCATGTGATTGGCTGATTAGCAGTTTGTGTTACCAAGCAATCAAACAGCTATACCTAATAAAGTGGTCGAGGAGTATATATATATATATATATATATATTAATTAAGCATAATGGCTATCAGGAGTCCACATCTAAGCTGAAATATGTAGAAAAAAAGCAACTGGCATGACATGACATGTAAGGAAATGCAGTAAAATCAGACATCATTGCTTTTTGTAGCTTATGGTTTCTCCCTATGGTCCCTATTATCTTTGTTATAAAGCATACCAAAGTATTTGCAATGCTTCTGTATTTTTTTCAAAATGTAAAGTAGGTTATGGACTGACCTATAGAGGTTAGCTCATCTGAGCCAGAGGATGCAACAGGGGATGCCTTTCTCATTAAAACCTAACCTAAGGTGCACATGTGTACTTATGTGAAATGCATACATATCTGGATTTTAGACTCTATCCCCACAACTGGAGCACACATTCCTCTCCTCAAAGAGCAGACAACCAAGGACAGTATTTAATTGTTATTTTTAGTATTTTTTCTTAAGTATTGTTTTTTTAGATTTGGAAATGTTTCATTGCAAGAAGTTAAAAAAAAATTTCATTATCATCCCAAATTTAATTTTATAATTAGCCACATAATCATAATGCTTATTAAATATAGGAAATGACAATATTTATAATACATTTTACAGCATTTTATGATGATATAAAACTAGTCATATTTGTCATTGCACACAATAAAACACTGCTATAAATATGGCTATGTGATCAGGGAGCAATACATTTGTAATGTGGTTTCTTCTTAATTTATTTATATAACATAAGAAAATTAAAAAAACATATATCAACTGGAGCTCTTAAAAAAGAGAAGCTGTAGATGTAGATAAAAAAAAAGATTTGTTTATTTATAGTGGATGGTACTAAACAATTAAACATTTTCATTTTTTTATTTCCTCTTAACTAATGCTTTTGCATATTAATATTTCATATATACCACTTTCAACCAGCAGCTGGTTCATTTTGAAAAATCTATGCTTGGTGCTTAAAGTTGACCTGGATTAGTGAGAGTAAGGAAACAACCCCTCCACCTCCTCTGCTAGCGAAAAGTGCAAATGTCTTAAATAATAAGTTCATCCAGACTACTAGAAAGGATGAAGATATTGTAGAGCTTTTGTATTAGAAAGCTCAGCATGTTTTTCAAGCAGAATGGAATAGATGCTTGCTTTTACAATTGTTTGCAAAACATAGGATAATGTAAAAATATATAAAACAAATGTTTATCATTTTGTCAGTTTCTCAAAAACATATATATTAGTGGCTTACAGGTTAGCATGTCTGCTTTGCAGCACTGGGATTCTTAATTCCCTGATTCCTGCTTCCCAGCTACCCCAGGATGTTTGCATGTTGTTTGTATGCTTGCTTGGCTATCCTCTGGGAACTCTGGTTTCCTCCCACACTCCAAAAAAACATGCTGGTAGGTTTTTGGGCAGGGACAAATATATGGTATGTAAACGTACTGTGTAAATTGCTAACACTACATATGTCAGCATCACAATTCTGAAGGCCCCATTTTGATGTCAGTATATATATAGCCTTTGACTAATTCTTTTGTTTCTTTATTGTCACTAATCATGAAAGTGCCCAAGTAGTACTTATGTGCCTACATTTTTATTAAATCTTTACACGACCTCATACTGAACTGACCATTATTTATTCGCAGAATATGAAGGATCTGGAACTGAGGTCCATAGGAAGCATCCGAGATGTGGAGCCTGCAAATATGGGGCTGAGTGTGATGAAGATGCTGAAGACGTAGGGTAAGGTGTCTGTTCATTAGATCATGGTCTGCTCACTTTCACTGTAGAAATAACACACCTTTTGTTTACTTAACTGCAAATCCTATGTTCTTCTAAACGGTCAGCAATACTCAGTCACCCACAGTGTTTTATGACTATAGGCACACGTTCCGTTTACAGTGTGCTGGAGAATAAGAGTGAAACATAAAAGCAGATGGCTGCTTCCGGACTACAGTGTTCACATTTGTATGTTTTTGTAAAAAGTTACTAATATAATAATATTGGGGAGAACTGCTGTGCCTACTTTTTGCAGAGTTCTGTGGGGAGATGGGCAAATCTAACCCTTTCCAGTGAATTAAAAGTTCTGGATTCTTTCTTGGATACACAGAATATAACTGGTTACTAACATTTATAGGTAAAGTTGATCCAGGGAATATCCGATTGCCTCTCAGGGGATCAGGAAGGAGTTTTTTTCTCAGCAGGAGAAAATTGGATCGTGCTTTGCTGGGTATTATTGCCTTCCTCTGGATCAACTGTGGGTATAGGATTATAACTTTTTTTTTTTATGGTTGAACTAGAACAGGGGTCCTCAAACTATGGGCCACGGGCTACATGCGGCCCGCCGAGCACATTCATCCGGCCCGTCGGCAGGGGACACTAAGTACAGGGGCGGGCAGGGGGCTGCTGTCTCTTACCTGGCTCCGGTCCCAGTCCCACAACGATCCAGTCCAGGATGCGCAGCTCCTTCACTCCGGCCCGCTCCCTCACTCGATGTCTGCGCTGCCGCTCGGCTCCGCCTCCTCACCGGTGATTGGGCGCCAGTACTGTAGCTCAGGAAAAGCACACAGGCGGCCAATCATCGGTGAGGAGGCGGAGCTGAGCGGCCCCACGAAAATCAAGGAAGGGAGAGGCCGAAGTGAAGGAAGGAGGACAGCTGACCGCCCGGTAAGTGTTCCGTGCAGATGGTACTGCTTCAACCAGGTATGCTGGCTACAGCAGCACCATGCTGGAACAGGGGTCGGATAGTTAAGTGTCATTGCTATCAGTGGGAGGAATAGTGCCCCATCATTGGTGTCACTGATAATAATGATGGGGCATTATTCCTCCCACTGACAGCAACGATGGTGCACTATTCCTCCCCCCACTGACACCAACGATGGGGCACTATTCCTCCCCCCACTAACACCAGCGATGGATCACTATTCCTCCCCCCCTGACAGCAACGATGGGGCACTATTCCTCCCCCACTGACACCAACGATGGGGCACTATTCCTCCCCCACTGACACCAACGATGGGCACTATTCTCCCCCACTGACACCAACAATGGGGCACTATTCCTCCCCCCACTGACACCAACGATGGGGCACTATTCCTCCCCCACTGACACCAACGATGGGGCACTATTCCTCCCCCCACTGACACCAACGATGGGACACTATTCCTCCCCCCCACTGACACCAACGATGGGACACTATTCCTCCCCCCCACTGACACCAACGATGGGGCACTATTCCACCCCCCACTGACACCAATGACTTACTATTCCTCCCGCTGACACCAATGATGGGACACTGTTCCTCTCACTGACACCAATGATAGGTCACTATTCCTCACATTGACACCAATGATGGGGCACGATTCCTCCCACTGACACCAATGATGGGGCACGATTCTTCCCACTGACACCAATGATGGGACACGATTCTTTCCACTGACACCAATGATGGGACACTATTTTGCTCCATAAGACACACTTGGGGGGAAATGTCTGTGTGTCTTATAGAGTGGCCGGTCCAGTATTCCCACCGCCGTTGTATGTCCGCCGTCTCTGAACAAATGCGGACACAGTACAGGAGATGACCATTGTTTTTTTTTTTTAAAACTATAGTCCGGCCCTCCAATGATCTGAGGGACAGTGAACTGGCCCCCTGTTTAAAAAGTTTGAGGACCCCTGAACAAGATGGACTTTTGTCTTTTTTAGTTAGTCAGACTAACTATGTAACTATGTAATTTCCTAAATTGGTACAGAAGCAGGACGTTCATGAATCTTACAGCTGACCATACACCTAGTAGATATTTGAACAAACATTTGTAAGAACATCCATACAAAAATTCTCATCAGCACACTCAATGACATGACGAATGTCTTTCAAAAGTACTCCAAAAACACATGCTTTTAAAGAAGAAGTAGGGCCAAAGTTCTCTTGTCACTACATCTGCTGTGGGTGACAGGAGTGCACTTTGTTATGCATTCCTGTGACCCAGGAGAAGCTAAAGCCTGCTTCCAGGTGACGCCACTCAGTAAATCCAGACTCTAGAGCAGTGGTTCTCAACCTGTGGGTCGCGACCCCTTTGGGGGTCAAACGACCTTTTCACAGGGGTCACCTAAGACCATCGGAAAACACATATTTCCGATGTGTAAAGAGCAGCCACTGTGTAGAAAAGCAGCTGCTGTGTTGAAAGCAGCTACTCTGTTAAAAGCAGCTACTATGTTGAAAGAAGCAGTATTGGAGGTAAAAACGACACTTCATGAATTATAATTACTGGGTAAATAATTTTATGGTTGGGGGTCACCACAACATGAGGAACTGTGTTAAAGGGTCGCGGCATTAGGAAGGTTGAGAACCACTGCTCTAGCGGGATCCTGACTTTATTGTCGGGCTCCACCCTGATGCCTGACCAGCAACTGGCTCAGCTTCTCATTGCTGAAAGCCTGAGCCAACCACTCCTGCCCCCTCCACAGCCTGGCACTTCAGTGAGCACTAGAGGGGCAGTGCACTGACTGACAATCACCAGCTCTCTGTTCACTGAAGACTGAGAGCAGTCAGCAGTCTTAGAGGTGGTAGGGGACAAATGCTGCATTGGATTGCTGCTGCATCCAGCTAGATGAGTATGATTGTTCATTTTAAAACCCATACTTCTCTTTTAACATTCGGTTTTGGATTGAATAAACGTTCCCAAATGAAAATTACTGTATATACACTGTTAAAAATGTGTTTGTTCCATCTCGCTCCTTCCACTTTCCTTATCACTGCAATTGAAATTGACCAGCGATTTGACCCCTCTAATCATTAGAAAATTGAAAGAACGTTCTTGAACATTTTCTGACAAAACATAGCCAGCTATAATTATGTTTTATATACTACTTTGCACTTGCTTAAGCCATCTGTAGTAAACGTACTAGGCCTATTCTTTATTGCAATACAAATAAATAACTAGTTCTTTTTGATCCGTTTTTCTTAGTTTTATTCATGTGCTACAAGAACACATATATTATTGTGTTTTTTTAATGTGTCAAAATTTTTAAATGCTTTGCAGAAGACAATAGGCCTTGTTTGCTTAAGAAAATGAACATATGCAGTCACATTGATGTCTCTGCAAACCTGATAGAACAACCACACAGTAGTATTTCCCTACGCACTTGTGATGTTCGCATGGCACACACTTATGATGGAATGCAAACTGCTAATTTACTACTATGCAGTTCAGTTTTGGAAACCAGTTCACAAAAAGAACATTGGGGAACTGGAGAAAGTACAGAGAAGGGCAACCAAACTGATAAGAGGCATGGAGGAGATCAGCTATGAGGAAAGATTAGAGGAACTGAATTTATTCTCTCTTGAGAAGAGGAGATTAAGGGGGATATGATCAACATGTATAAATACATCAGTGGTTCATATAGTGAACTCAGTGTAGAGCTATTCACCCTGAGGTCATCACAGAGGACAAGGGGGCACTCTTTACATCTGGAGGAAAATAAATGTAATCTCCAAACATGGAAGGTTTCTTTACAGTGAGAGCTGTGAGAATGTGGAATAGACTCCCTCAAGAGTTGGTTCTGCCTAGCTCAGTGGTTGCTTCAAAAAAGTCCTGGATTCTTTCTTAGATACACAGAATATAACTGGATATAACATTTATAGGTAAGTTGATCCAGGGAATATACGATTGCCTCTCGGAGGATCAGGAAGGAATTTTGTTTTTTCCCCGCAGGAGCAAATTGGATCATGCTTTGCTGGGGGGGGGGGGGGGGGGTTGCCTTCCTCTGTATCAACTGTGGGTATAGGATTATAACTTTTTTTTTTTTCTATGGTTGAACTGGATGGACTTTTGTCTTTTTTCAGCCAAACTAACTATGTAACTATGCAACTACAGGAAATGTTGTCTTCACTAAATTACAAAATTGATTTGTATCTATTTTTTTCTGAATGGCTATTTGAAATCTACAAACGATTTTGTGTTCACATTTTCTGCAGGAACCATTTGACATGAAGTGAGCACTATAAAAATTACATTTATAATGCACATTTTGTGGGCATGTCAGGGTGCTCATGCATTTATATCCATGCTTTTGGCAGCAGGAGGCAGGCATATTTTATGCAATGTGCGATAATAAAAACCTATTCTTATGCTGCCTTATTTGTTTAAAGAGCCAGAAACAGAAAACGGTGTTGTGGAGCTGTTCTTATGCTAATGCACCTTTCCTTTCATAACTTGAGGGAAATCTACGGCCACAACATACACCTTCATTTATAACATCAGCGTTGTAATAACAATATAACCAATAGTCATTTTTGACAATCCAATATATGATTGCTTGAAAAAATCTCCTTTCATGTTGTGAGTTTTCCTGTCTGCTGGTAATCTCTTTCCATAACTTCCTGGATCCCCTGCATGCTTTGCAGCTTCTCCTCTGCTGTTTACTTTCAATTTCTAAGGACTACATATCCCATGGTACCTTGCTGCCTGCAAGCAGGGATTCCTGTACTGACTCCGCCTCCTGAAACTCCTCCTCTCAGCACCTCTGTAGTTCAGAAGGCAGGCTCTGTGAAATGTGTGACACATAAGTGCCTACTTGCAGGGCATAGTGAATATGTGTCACAAAATTCAAGAAAGTTGTATGTGGGACTCATCACAAAGTACGCTTACAAACCTCAAGGAAGTTTGGAGTAATCTGAGTAGGCTAGAAATAATTGAAACATTTTTTGTGGCATTGATGCAGTAAAAGCTTCTTTTTGGCACCTCAACCAAACAGCTCATTTTTGTTCAAGTATCACCGTATTGTACTCCTTAAAAACAACCTCACCATCTTTTTCCAGAGCAGCCTGTATTTCTTTTGAGGTTGCCTGTGGGTTTTTCTTTGTACAATTCTGTCAGTTATGCTTGCAATCTTTCTTGGTCTAGCTGACCTTGGCTTGGTATCAAGACATCCCCGAACTTTCCTCACTTAATAGGTGATTTAGCAGTACTGATTGGCATATTAAAGGCTTTGGACATCTTTGTATGTCCTTTTCCATCTATTATTAAGTTCCATTACCTTGTTATGCAGGACTTTTAACAGTTCTTTTCTGATCCCCATGGCTCAGTATCTAGCCTAGTCAGTGCTTCCACGTAAGAGCTAACAAACTCATTGACTATTTATACACTGACACTAATTGCAATTTAAAAAGCCATAGATGTGGGACATTAACCTCTAATTGGCATTTTAACCCGTGTGTGTCACCTTGTGTGTCTGTACCAAGGCCAAACATTCCAGGGGATGGTAACTTTTGATCATGGCCATTTGGGTGATTTCTGTTATCATTATGATTTAAAAAGGAGCCAAACAATTATTTGATAATAAATGGCTTCATATGATCATCATCCTTCAATAACAGAGCATTTTATGGCATGATCAGTCATATTTTCAATATCAGTGCCAAAATTTCACAATTTCTGCCAGGGTATGCTAACTTGTGAGCACAACTGTATATAGTAATAATCATATATAGAAATAACCTTTCTAATCATATTGATTTAATCACAAGATCCCCCCCTTACATCAGAGTCCACAGAGTTCCCCTTTTACATCTGAATCCACAGAGTTCCCCTTTATATCTGAACATGCAAAGTTCCCCTTTGCATCTGAACTCACAGAGTTCCCTTACACTGTAAGGGGAGATTATGCAGAATCTGATAAAGAAGAACTCTGGGGACTCTAATTTTAAGGGAACACTGATGTAATGGGAAATGTTGCAGACTCTGGTACCCAGGGCCCCCACTTACATCAGAGTTCCCAGCATTCCCCTTTAATCAGGGCTCCCAGAGCCCTCTTACATCAGAGTCTGCAAAGCCCCCCCTAACATTATAGTCCACAGGGCCCCCCTCTTTACATCAGAGTCCACAGGACCCCCCTTACATCAGAGTATACAGGGCCCCCTCTTACATCAGAGTTCACAGGGTCCCCCTTAAATCAGAGTCCGCAGAGCCCCCCTAACATCAGAATCTGCAGAGTTTTCCCATATATGAGTCAGCAGAGCTCCATTTACATCAGAGTCTGGAAAGTTCTCCCTTACATCAGAGTCTGCAGAGTTTCTCCCTTACATCAGAGTCCGCAGAATTTCAACTTACACTGTGAGAGGGATCTCTGTGGAATGTAAAGAGGAACTCTGATGTAAGGGGTGCTCTGGGAACCCTGATTTAACTTCTTCCTGCCTGCACTATAGCTAAAATATGGCTATAGTGTGGGCTTCCAGTTCTGGGAGGGCATCCGTGGACATCCTTCCAGAACCCTGCCTACCACGTGCCCCCTGGGGCACGCATCCAGCACGCTCTGACTGCTTTGTCCTTCAGACACAGCTGATCACAGATCATTGTAAAGGGCCAATCACAGCGGCCCTTTACCATGTGATCGCCTAATCACATGTACACAGACTTTCCAGTTATCGGCTGTACTTCTCCCACGCTGTGTC